CTGTTCTCCTTTTTTTCTGATAATTCTGTTTAAAGATGGGTGATTTAGCTTTTTATGCTGAAAGGGCACCTTTTATTCTCTAGTTATGGTCACGAATCCAGTTTCTTCTCAGGAAGAATGTCCACCTACAAACAAATCTTAAAAAGAAAAAAGTTGAATTTATTCTTTCTGTGTAAATTGAAGTGCAATTGCTTGGTAGACATTGACGAATTCAGATACATGCATCTGTTCGATATAGTTTTGAGGACTCCGACCATTTTATGACACTGCATCAATAAATATCCATACGCATGTTGCCTTCACAGATTAGTGTGAAATTTATTGATGCTTCAGTTTCAGTAGTAAGGGTAAAATTCTACATTGATAAAGTATAAAGAAACAAACATACAAGGCCTTGTGCTACTCTTAATAATAAGATTGGCCTTTTAAAATGCAAGACCCAATATGGAATGAGAGCTCACTAAGCGAAAATGAACAATTCTATACATCTATAGCTCAAATAAGAATTCAGATTTCAAGATTGATTTGCAAGATTTTGGGTTTGCGTATATTTGCAATGTTTACATGCTGATAAAATAATTTTCAACTTACGTAGACATGTCCGAGGTTCCAGCCAGAAAATCTTGAAACTAACAAACTAGTATTCGAAAGGGTCAGTGAAATGGCTACAAGGAAAGGTTGCACCCCCTCCCAACTAGCATTGGCTTGGGTTCATCACCAAGGAGATGATGTTTGTCCTATACCTGGTACCACTAAGATCGAGAACTTTAACCAGAATATTCAAGCTTTGTCTGTTAAATTGACACCAGAAGAGATGGCTGAACTTGAATCCTATGCTTCAGCCAATGTGGTTAAGGGCGATAGACACACTTACATGGCAAGCACATGGATAAACTCAGAGACTCCCCCATTATCCTCTTGGAAGCCCGAGTAGGCACCTATTTGCTCTTTCAAGTTTCACTTAAGTGCTGAACTGGTTCTTACAATCAGTACTAGCAGATGTGAGTCTTAATATGTGCTGATATGAGTTTCAATTATTCTGTTTATGCTGTTATGGCTTTAAAGATTTCACTATGTACTTTTAGTCTGTATTTCAACGTTCATCGTACGTAAACAAGGCCGTATCTTTGTTATTTGCTTTAATCAGTCTATGCTTGCTATACGCACCCACTTCAAACATAAAGAAGAGGAGTACTAGACTAACAGCAGAATTTATTCCAACAATCTTACATTCTAGGTGGTGGTGTTATATTCATTCTCTTAAGTTGAATTTCTTGATTAAGTTTTTCATCTGTCTTTTAGATAAATTTATTCCAACAATCTTACATTCCAGGTTTAACTTCGATATGTCCTACTTAATTTATTTAATTTGTTAGATAAATTTTTAATAGGAGTCCTCAACTATTTTTGACTTATTGCGATGATGGGGTGTCGAACTTTTTTATTTGTAACATTTATGTTATTAACCTAACTAAACTCAAAATTGAGAGTTAAATATTACTTTTTTGGGTTAGAAAAAGTAACTACTGAGTATTAAAAATAATCTCATTTTTCCCGAGTTACTTTTTAAAGTGGTAAGTATATATAGTTTTTATTTATTGTATCACAGTTTAATTACATTTAAAATTTTCAATATTTATTATTTGTTGTATTTTGTCTGTTATCTTTTTAGGACGCATTCTTATTCTCAATATTCCATTAATTTATACGTCTCATTTTTGATAACATTTTTAGTAACAATTTGATGGACCTTCGTTTGTTGGGCCGTAATAGTGAACTGAAAGAAGGTATAGAAGATTGGGGTATGATTATTGACTTCTAAGGAAACAAAGTTAGGGGTGTAATTTTACACTAGGAAAAATTTAAATTTTTGTTATATTGATTTTGATCGACTCATATGACTTAAGGATTCCCAGATGAACTTGAGTCTTGGGCAAAAATGCTAGTATTTAGTTGTAATATATTTGTAATTTTTGAAAATATTCAAAGCTCAAGCTATAATATTTCATTTATTTATTTTATATTAAATTGCTTTTTTATGTGTGTCTATTTAAAGAGTGACAAATTCGTCATTTTATATGGCTTTAACGCCAAAATGGATGGAAAAAAAGTTTTACTAAATTTTAGAATGCTTGAAGATTGTTGTAAAAAAATGTAGGGAAATCTGAATACTTAATGAACTCCAAGACATGAAAAAACGTTATCTTTTAAGAGATGTTTCTTCCTTATCCAACAATGTCACAATTGGGATATGATAGAAAATCTCTCTTAGGATACAATGGAGACGTTTGATTCAAATTGTGGCTATTTGATCAAATCAAGAAGACG